TGAGCACCGGGGTCAGTCCCATCACCCCAGTGCCAAACTCGCCCTGCTCCAAGCAAGCCACACTGGGACTTTGCCCTGCACAGCACTTTGCCACCCCACCACCACCCACCAGGGCCAGGGGCTCTGTGCCCTCCGTGGCCTGGGATAGATGTGGTCCTGACACGTGTGACGACACAGGGAGCTGTGCACTCCCTGCCCGCACGGGGCCCACGGATGGAAATGTACCCCACAGCAGACACGCCTATATGAATATTGTATAGTATACATAATTTTTTTTACCCAAATGACAGTTTTGACAAGATGCCAAGAAAACAATATCGGATCCCAGCGGTTTTACCAGTTGCTTTGATGAAAAGATTATGTTGCCCTGGAAACCAGAGGCTCAGATAGTGAAATGAGTTTGAGAAGGAGCTTTTGATAAGCACTAGTCTGCAGACCTCCCATCAACCTCTCCCTCACCAAGGAGGGATGGGGCCAGGTTGGATTTCTATTTCATTTTTGGTCAGCTGCTGGCATGTTTCCCCCTCTGGAGTGAGCACTGAGCAGGGCACATGCTGCAGGATGGGAACAGAGAGATGATGGGACCATCCCCTGACACAGAGTGCCCTTGGACAACTCTGCAGCACATGGACCTCCCCAAGGGACCTTGGCTGCTGCCACTACCTGGCAGCTCAGCAGCACCGCGGTGTTTCCTTCCAGCCCCATCCCCAGCCCGTACCGGCTGCCCCGAGCCGGGGCTGGAGCAGAAGATGGTGTACTTCCGAATGATGCCGTTGGGCTTGGCCGGCGGCAGCCAGGACACCACCACGCTGCTGGCAGAGGATGGCACAGCCTTGATGCCAGCTGGGGGACCTGGAACTGAGGAGGGAGAGCGTGGCAGAGCAGGTCTTTGAGATCTCTGCCCAGCTCGGAGAGGCAGCAGCATCCTGCTGTGGGGCTGGCATCACACCCATGTGTCTGGAAGCAGCTGCAATGGCATTTCCACACCAGCATCAGGCAGGTCTGAGCCATCACCCCACTGCCTGCAGGACACCTCTCCACGGGTGGCTCATTCCCCACGTGAGCTGGAGGCAGGAGGGCTGTTTTAGAAACCATGATTGGCTTTTAATGGCCATCTCCTTAATCTGTCAGCCGTACCCAGCCCAGCTGCGCCTCCCTCCCAGCATCTGGTGCTTCCCAGGACACAGGCCCAGGAGCTCTGCTACTGAGTTAATGGCATTAAAGTAGGGCAGGCAGGGTGTAAATATTTAAATATCCGCACTTAAGGAAAAGGAAAGAAAGGGCCAGGGAAATGCCCTGCCCATGGCTGTACACCGGGGGGTT